AATATACTCTAAAAAGTGCTATAACATACATACTTGAATAAAGCAGAGATTCCATACACATTCCATAGTTTCTAGGATATATCACAAATCTGAAAACAACTTTGGCTAAAATTTAAAACCTTTTTTACATTGTTGTACATGTACAACATGTACAGTTTACATTACTTTTTTTCCTGAGTAAATACTTTGCTTTTACTATTAAAATTGTAAGAAGCAGGAACTGGACTGGAAAGACACCCCTGTCAGACATGACTGCCTACAAGATATCAGACAACATGGTTCAATTCAGAACAGGACTTACACATGGCAATGCTCAGTATCAACATGCTTGGTTGTAAGTGCTCTAAGTGTCTGAAACTCCACCTTCTTCCTAGGAGAGACATTTTCTTACATCTCAAAACCCCATCCTGTATCTCAGATACCTTTGTCATCTTGTTGGATGTAGATGACTGGCTCACTTTTCTTTAAAAGTAAGCTCAGTGAAAACAACACTCTAACAGGAATCATTGTGTCCAAAAAGCAAGCAACCTGAGTGTACTATTCCCTCAGTGAAAAGATTTCAAAACACTTTCCACAAGACTGCCCTAACCACTAGGTTGCAGGCAATAGTCCAGCAAAGGCATCTGCCAGCTCTCCTATGACAGCACATCTCTGCACATACACAGGTTCTGAACATCGGAAGCCAAAAATAACATTTTCCTCCTCCTTTCTTAGTATTACTTTTATTAGCAAGTGCACTGTGTCTGTTTGTCCTCAATATAAAGACACAACTGAAAAATACAATGGTACTTCACCTCGGGTAAAAATGACAAAAAGCAATTCTAGTTTGTCCAGAGTTAAGTTCAAAAAGTGAGCAGTATCTAGAGAGGAAGGAATAAGCACAGCATCACAACAAATTAATAGACTGTTTATTCTGATTAAGTTACCAGCTCTTGCATACAGTTTTAGGCAAAATGATCAAAACCAATTTCAAAAATTACATCCCAATAAAATAGGAGGCACATGTAGATACTTGCTTTCAACTACTTCAGTAGTATGATACAAGTTTTCCATAAAAACAGAATTATTTTGTAATTCTTTTCAGAATTAACTATTTCAAAAGTAGTAACAGACTTTAAAAGAAAACAAAGATCCCATCAGTCTACATTAGTTTCTGGCTCCATTCTCTGAAATGTTATATATTACTTCACATATGTTTGTTTTTATCTGTCAGGTTGGTTTATTGTTAGGGAAGTGTAGTATCAGCTGTCTCTTCCCTGCCATCAAAGCTACTTCATTAAAGTTAATAGTGTCTGACTTCCAGAGGATCTTTTACCAAAGTAACACAAAAAACTTCTGCTTGTCATTATTTTTCCAGCAGTAAAGACACTAAATGGATGCAGTATCCCCTTTACCTTTTAACAAAGAAATCAATTCCATTAATACATTGAAAGCATTGAAGGATTCTATTTACTAAATTACTTCAGCTGTGAGCAACCAAAATATTAACCACACACCATCAGATGGCAGACCACACTGTAGTAATGAATATCTGCCTTGATCTGTGGCAGACTACCATGCAAAGGTTCCTATGCACCTGCGTTAATCTGCACTGCCTTCTGTCTAATGTTACCCCTTAAAGGTTGTAACCAGTCACATTAAACAACATGAAACATTTAGCAGCAAAAAATGGTTATATTTAAAAGCCACTTACATAAGTAAAATGCTGCCACTTTTAAACAAAAATCTGTCTTAAAACCTTTCATAAAACCACTTAAGGACTGAGCTTATGTGTTTTTATACAATACACATATATTCTAGTAAGTAAAAATGCAAAAACATGACATAATCATCAGGAACAAGTTCTTGCATACACAAGTAAAAATAACAAAACCCAGCAGTCTTTAAAAACATCAGTTTCATGTTAGAACCATCTGGCATATTCACAAATATATGTTAATTCTAACATATGTTTATCAGATCAAATACAAAAGGACTGGAGTTCAAATCAATTTTACTCAAAGTGTATGATATGTTCTATAAAAATCTTGTATACCTCAATAACCTGCAGTAGAAGAAAAATAAAAAAGTATTTTATGCAGTATTAAGAAACATCCAATCTTCTAAAAGACATTACAATAAAATATCGTTAAAATAGATAGGATTAATCTAATGCTTACAATAGTAAAAACTCTAAATAGTAAATAGTATGACAGGTAATAGTAATAGTATAAGACAGTAATAGTAATAGAATAATAATAGTAAATATTATAAGACAGGTTTCCCATGCATGCAACCCTCTAAATACAAGAAGGAAATTTTTTGTCATTAATTTTTACAGGAATAATCTCAGTACCACATTTTCAACATGTACAGGCACATCAAGACTACTCAATGTAACTAGAAATACGTACGGTCATTTAATTGCTAGATTGGCATTGCTGAGGAACAAGAGACTAAAAAGAGTACATACGCCTTCACAGCATCTATTTTTAAAAATAACATCTTTTTCAATCTGCTTTTCACCTCAGTAAGTACATACATATGTGTATGTATACAAAACCATTTTGTCTATCAGAAAATCATGTCAATTGCAGAATACAAAACCAAAGTCCATCAAACGTTTCAATACATAGAACCTGAAGTATATTTACGCAGTGAACCCCTCCGCATGAACTTACAGAAGGCAACAAGGCTGAAAATGAACTACGTATATTGCATAAATCAAGTATTAAGGCTATTTAGTACTTTAGAACCTTTATGCCTAGGCACACGAAGGTGTGCAAGCAAAGCCCCTGGTAGCTGGCACAAGGGGGAGCAGTCGGGTAACATTAACAAGGCTTGTGACCCCCCCTTTGGAAAGGCTCAAGACGCAGGTTTGCAGAACTTGCTCGCAGGCTGACTCAGCCCTCGGACTGGCTGACGTGTCCTCGGAAGAGCACCACCAAAAGAGCCAGAAAGCTCACTTTATCACAACCATCCTCTCCATATGCGTACTCCAAAACACAGCTTTGGCAATGGTAATGCCTGATGCAATGTTTGCAGCTGTTTTCTAAAAGGCAAAATGAGTAATCACAGCTGCAATTGGTTTCTGTTTCTCCCTTAGCTGCAATACACAAATGTTTGTTGGGGAGGAGAAAACTTCTATACAGTTATTTCATTTTGGTGATACAGCAACACTGCAAATCAAGTGAATTACAAGACATCAGAGAGTATCATGTCAGTCTCTGTGTGCTCCTGCATTTCAATTCATTTCAAATGTTATAAGGAAATACCAAATGTCGGCTTTTACTCCACCCTGAGGGACCTAGTCAGTTGCAGCACACATTGAAATATATTGAGAGGAATCTGTAAATCACTGGCCCTGTGAGTGATCCCTCTGGAGATATCTGGAAGGAGATCCTCAGTCCACATTCACTGTTACAGTCTACCGTGATGTTCTTACAGATTAACACAGCTGTAGCGCTTCCTGTGTTAGCTGTCTGGAAACCACCTTCTCCAATACCCAGGACTGTACGCTTTATGAGGACTGTAAATTCTTTTAGTTTTGTATTTGTAAAGCACAGAATTAGACACAACCACCTTCTGTCCATGACTAGCAATCTTCGCTACTGCAGATAAACACCATTTAGAACAAAAACTGAAAAAATAATTATCTCTATAAAAGAGGTAACTGTTCATACTGAAGTGTCAAATGAAAACTGATTTTAAGGAAAAATAAAAATCACCAAGCAAACAGATCAGAAGCAGTGAAGCAGACAGTCAGAGTTCACTTCTAATCCAGAGCTTCAATCAGTAACTGCTTTCTACATAAGAGATATCTTTCATAAATTAATTTGTACTATTATTATACTTAAGTTTTCATAATTCTGAGAAAGAAAACTGCAAATACCAGACAGAAAAATCCTCCACCCAGCCATTTTACTAGTGATTTTTTCACTTTTTAGATAGCTTTATAAAATAAATTCATAGGTGCAAAACCCCACCCAAATTCCACAGAAACCAAGGTGATTGTTTCCACAGAAATTGAGTGAGCTTCACCAACATCACACTGTTCACTACTCCACAGACCACAGCCTGTCCATTAGCATTTTGAAATGCACTAAAATACTAAAGCTTCATACTCAGGTAGGGTACAAAAAAATCCACAAGCAACCCAGACCTTTTTAATCCTTACAATCAGTTTTATGCAAGCTTTTTCATAAATTGAAAGGATCATTACCTCAGTTTAGACCTTAGACTTGACCTCTCCACCTTAGGAAAATTCTATAATCTGAAGGACTACCCTCATAGGATAATTTACTCTAAATACTTGAAAACTATTACTCTGCAACACCTGCAAGCAAGTTTTATCTGCACAGAATTGGTGAATTAGTTTCACCAGATGAGAAGACCATGATCATCATTGAAAGTAATGCAACAGAATCCCTTCAGCACAGCAGAATCTGAACTGCAGGTCCAAGAAATCAGCCAGTTAGTTTAATTATAAAGGATATTTACAGTGGAATCACTCCAAAAACATTACAGATAGGCCAATTAGTTACCGTCTTCCCTCAGAATAAAGTGAACGTAAACTGTATTCTTACTTCTGTAGGTTCTATGAAGATTTTCATCTGGAAGAAAGACCTCTCATTTAAATCCACACTGTTCTTTTTCACTTACTGCGCAAAGTTATTAGAAGAAGGAAAGATTTAAGGTTTTTTAACCAAAGTATCTGTTTAAAGTTCCAAGTAAACCCTTGACAGGGCCCAGCTTGCCAAGAGCTGTGCTTTCTACCAGTAAGCAAGGAAATCTATCCATAATTCTTTTTTTTTCTTTTTTTTAAAGAAAATAAAATATTTCCTTTGGAATTTATTCTCTCTTTTAACCTTGTGCTCACTGCCCAACACAAACACATACCTTTCCCCAAGGAGGGGAAAAAGGTCCAAGCACCCCAGGGGACTCTGGTGGTGGGGAAGCCCCCAGGGCAGGGCAGCCATTTTGTGCCCCTTCAGGGAACAGCCCTAGGGAAGGGGGCACAGTCCCAGGCAAGGGGGCTCAGCCAGCCCAGTGCTCGGGGCTCTGGCTATGCCATCCACACATGACATTGCTTCCTGTGTCATCCACAGGTTGTTTCTCAGCATTTTTGTGCAGCAGACCCAGAGTTTTTCTTCAGAAATACCATCGCCTCCCGTGGGTATGGACATGGTGCCTGAGGCATAAGGGGGAGCACAGGGGAACCATTGCCAGAGAGGGCTGATAAATGGCTGGGGGTAGAGGAAAGGTCTTAACCTTGGAGTGTATGTTTTAAGGAAAGGGGCAGCCTTTTTAGGCTTTGCATTTGTCTTCCTTATATGAGGAAAATGCTATAATGTGAAGGACTGTGCTTTTGTTTTCAAGGATAATTTGCTCTAAATACATGCATCATCATCAGTATGATGGACTGATAGGTAAATCGAATAAGAGAGTTCCAAACTATTCATGGAATGCTTTTATTACACAGTAGCTTGTATGTTATACTGCAACACTTTCCACCTGATGAATCCAGTTCATACAATGGTGCTGAGATCCGTGATGTGCTTATGAAGAAAAAAGGACACTTATTTTACCGAGTCTAGATGGTAAGAAGATAGTCTCCTATCACCTGGTCCAAGGCTAGTTTCACTAACAGCAAGAAGGAGATCTGTAGTACATGGTAATCTGGGGTTTTCTTCTCTATAAACAATGTTGTATCACAGTGAAAGATTTGTGCAATCTAATGAGAAAGCAGTGAGTGTATGAGAGCAAGCCCGAAATTCAAGGAAGCATTAGCCCTGGGCAGGTTATTAACAGGGCCTCTGGAGTGCAGTCATAAAAAGAGGGATGAATTTCAAAGGTAACACAGCACAACAAATGGCTGAGCAGGAGCAACGTCATGTAACTGCCAAACAGAATATGGCTGACGCTCAACAATTCACAAAAAGCAGAAATTTGATAAGAATAGAAAGGATGTTCATTTTCAAGCAGAAGATAAGATATGGATTAAATTTCAGTCTCAGGGTAGTGCACAGAAAGATTTTACGGCTACACTAAACCCAAACCAGAAAATTTCTTACCAAGTTATTTATGTAATAGGGTAAACGGAACCACAGTATCTACTGTACACACTGTGTGCTGCTGTGGGATGTAAATCCTGGCACATTCACAGTGCTGGGATTCTGGCAGCCTTTATTCTGGAGTTGTGGTAGAATTCAATTTTTGTATTCTTTACATTTCCCTCTCTGATTTCATCTACATGGACATTAAATTTATTCATTACTGTACGTTTTTTACCTCAGTCACTCAGTTTTTAGCTCTCCCTCAAGAAAAGGAAATAACCACAAAGAGGGTGGTAACCATGTAACCTCTTACATACAAATAACGTTAACTTTCTTTCATTTTTTCATTGCATACATATAATTTCTACCCATGTATATCTTGGCCTAAAGATGGTAATTAGTTAATACATTGGAGAAGGAGATCTTGGGAAGGAAAATTGCTGGACAAAAGGAGCCAGCTCAAGGAAAGGATTCCTTGCTTTCTGATAAGCATTGCACACACTGCAAAATTAACTGGAGAAGCAGCAAACAGATGGGTTGACAAGGCTTGTATTACTGGCAAAAAAAGGCAGGGAAGAAGGACTGAGAACACGATTAGTTAGGAAAAAGACAAACAAAGCTATACATGGCTTTTAAGACAACTAAGAAAATTAAAGTAGAACAAAAATCTACCAGAGCAATTGAGAAACTATATTGTTTCTTACAGACCTGGCAATGTATCAGCCTTCAAAATTGTTCTAGGACACTCCTAAGGTGTATAGTGTGAGCAAATTGAGTCCATTATTCAAAACAGGAATGAATATGAATCTTTAGCTTCTAGGAAGCTGGTGCTGCCATTATATCCTGATGGAAGCATTGCGGGAACTGACTGACTCATTTTTGCCACCATTTTAGCTTCCTTTAGGAGCAAATCACTTGATCCTGGCAGGTCTCCTTCTGTAATACAAATCTGTTGAAAATATTTCCCTTTGCCCATTTTTTGTCTAAGCAGGCTATAAACTCTCTGAAGAAGCACAGCCTCTTGCACAAAAGTGCTGCAGTAATGAAAATAATAATTTCTGAGTTTTTTTCAGACTGTAAATTCTTGGTTTACTAAGACAAAATATCCAGATTTGAAAGACTTGATGACATTTTCTGAAATGTTATTAAGGATTATCCATAGGGATACACCAGAATTCACCAGAAGTTCATTAGTCACCTTTTTCAGGCTATGAAGATGTATTGGATTAGATTTATATGGAAAGGAACAGCAGACTTTTCCAGTGCCCCTCTTGTTTTATTCTTCCTTTCATGTCTTTCTCCCACTCTCAGCTTCACTTTTTTTTCCATGCTGCCTCTTATAGTTTGAATAACTTCCCATCTGCCACATGCCAAATCTCCTTTAGATCCTTCTTTAAAGCCTGCTTCCTTCACACAGCCTATTTATGCTGATATTTTCACCAAGACATCTCCATTCATTCCCCATCTGAACTATTGTCCCATAAATCATATTTGTCTTGCTTAGATTGTCAGTGCTAAACATAAAGCATGTCCCGGATGTTCTAGCAGTCATTCCTAGTCTGCTGCCATATGAATGATAGCAGGGTCTTGTATCAATTTCTGTACATTTCCCAGAAGGACAGAGGAGAAAAAATTATTCAAAGAACTTCACAACAGTCCTCAAGGCTTGTCTGTATTACACAGCTGGGAACAAACATCTTTCCCTCCTGTGAACTACAACTCACAACATTATTAGTTAACCAGAGGTTAAGGGTAAGAAACAAATGTTTGTTCTTATTACACCCGACAGATCCTTACACATATACAAACATCTCGGCAGATGTTTAAACGTGCCTTTCTTCTAGCTTCTGGAAGTGAATATTTCAAATGACACAGGAAAGGAACCTGAGTAGGAAGAATAGTTATTAGTCCTTAGCAGTCAATAACAGATATGAATTGCTTAAAATTTGATGAGAAAGATCTGTGAACAGTTTTGAATATGAATTTTGTCAGGACATGTTCAGTCAACAGCTCTCCATTTCAATTGTGAAGATTAATGTTTTTTTCCATGAAACTAATGCCAAAGCTTTGACTCACTGGAAATAAAACATTAGTTTAAAGAGCTACTCATTATCATTTGTTTTACAGTAAAAAATAAATTTCATGAATTAAGATATAAACCATTTTGTCACATAACAGCACTTTGGAGAAGACAGGGAAGGTGACCTATGTACAAATAGTTCATCCAGTTCCCAACTACTGTAACACTTGCACAGCTTACATAGAAAAAGGGAAGGAAGCTTTGCTTGCTCAGGCTGTTGACTTAGATTAGCTTTCCTCTGTAAACTGAAATTACTATTCTGTAAAGTAGAAATTATACTGCATACCTTACAGGAGTACGGTGGTGACTGACTGCCATTGTCGTTACCCATAGTGTGCAGAATCCTCCCCTGTATGTTAACACACATGGATCTAGTATCAGCTGTGGCATGGTTGCGCACTTAAAGATATCTTCTGGGACATGACAGCTTTACCCATGTGAGCAGAGGTTTCTCAGAAAAAAAAAATCCTGGCATCGTGCAAAGAGGTTGTATGGGTTGCAATAGCAAAGTAATGAGCGTTTCTTGGAAGTAGCTCTGCGTCTTCAGCACTTATTGCTGCTATGTGAAAAACAGTAACAATAGATCCGAAAGCCATCTTCTTGCCTGCAAAGATTTTATTCACACAAGAAAGCAAAACTTGGGAGATTCCAACTTCTCTGAAATATGAATGGAAATGGGTGGTGTACAGCATCTTGTAGAATAAATTTTGTTTGAAATCAAAATAAAAATCTTCCTTTAGCATTGAAAATATATGTTAAATATCTAAATGAAACAATAAAAATAGAGATAGGAATTTAAGTTTTCATTTTTTTATATATATAATAGTAATTGTCAATTATGGAGTATCAAAAGATCATATTGGGAAATCTTGCAAATTTTTTAAATCGTTAGCTTCAAATTCTCTTGTATTTCCTAGAAAGCTCTGTGGACAGCAGTTGTTGTTCTGTCATGCATTCAGTAGGATAGATCTCATTTTATACTGCATTTAATTTAAAGTTTTATTCTCATTTTTGCTTCGTGACACACTGTTTCTGTCAATTTTGCTCTTGGACCACATTATTTTTTTCAGCTTTTCTTCCTCTATGTAATATTTTAGACTCATTATCAATCTACTGAGATCTGGAACTGGTATTCTTGGCTTTAAGGATGCTCTAAAATGACAAAGCTGGGAAAGCACTGGCAAATCATGACTTTGCAACTGAGGACAGATATTTTGCAAAGCTTGAGAATCCTCGGAATCTGCAGAATTCCTAAACCTCAGTGGGTTTAATGCTCCTGCTGCCTTTAAAATACCAATGCTTTGATGTATGTCCCATTTCCTTGAGTCACTAGCACTGTGAATTTTAGGATATTTGCAGACCATTTAAGTTTTCATTTCTGAATATGCATCCTAAATATTCAGAAATACTTCATTTTATGAAGAAACTAGCAGTGAAAATGTGTTTACAGAGCACATGTAAATAACCTGAAATGTATTTCCTCTGTAAAAGCTGATTTCTCCAAAGTTCCTAATATTGGACATTATTTTGGTTCTACAATATGAAATACCTTGAAAAGGTTGTGATTTTTCAGAGGACAAGTGAGTAGTTTCAGAAAACAATACATTTTCCCATTAGAAAACAATAGAACTTCAGTGTGCCCCTACTTGATTACTTAAAAACTAAAGCAAAGTTTTTAGTTTCTATGGATAAGCTGGGCATGAATAAAATCACTCTGGATTCTTATGCTGCCTCTTGCTCTATGCCCAAAAGTGGTCCATTTGTAAATAGGGACTTCATCTTTCTTTACTGCCAGTTTTCTAAGCTCATTTGGATCTTAATATTTACAAGAGAGACTTTCCATGCTTTTCACATTATCACAGATGATAATTGCTCGGGTACATCTGTGAGAGCTCACTAACTTCATTTCAACCTCTCCAGTTCTAATTCAGGAATGCGCTTCAGCAAATCCATCATTTCTAAGCAGTGTGTAGACTACAGACATACTCACCATTTTTCTGAATGGGAATGTTTTCTTATAGATCATACATCTGGAACCTACCAAATACTTATCGTCATGCAACATGAGGAAGATTTATATCAAATCAAATGAGGAAGATTTATACCAAATCTTCCTGGGGTTAACTGTTCAAGAAATACAAAAAATCCAAAATAACAAAACCAAATGAAATACACTGTTTGGAAATGAAATTATTAGATACAACTGAAGGAACAGGTTCCTTGAACAAGCAATTTTACATTGCCATTCTTGAAAGACAGGCTGGACTTGAACAGTTGGGAAAAAAGCAGGAATTACTTGAATGCAGACATTACAAAACTAGGAGTTAAGAATTAATTTTAAAGAGATTGCCTGGTGGAGACAGTAAGATCTTGCTAACTTATGTCTGACATTCTCATAGCCTGAGTGGTAGTGAGTGACGCTGCTGTTAGGAAACCAGCACTGCTGACACAGTGCACAGTTAAATCCCATACGTGCTGTGTGTGAGGGAGTGGTCTAGTGCTTGGCCTATAGAAAGAACGGTTGCCATGAAGGAAGATAATGTTTACATTTCAGAAGCCTCTGTATTTCTTACAAAAATAACCACCATCAGCATTATCTGATGCCAAGTTCCATGGCATGCACAGTGATTCAGCCTCTGATTACAGCAAAGTTTTTTAGGATCCATACTTCCATCCACTGAAAAAGTGCAAATACTCAGACTTTAGGGAAGTCAAAGTACTGTGCTTCTAAAGGATATTGTGCTGAGCATATTGTTCATTTCTTGATTCTGTAAGATCTCCTTTGTTGAAGCCACTCAACGCTGCCCCAGGATTTCCAGTCTACCAGTAAAGTTCAGAGCTGTTATCCCAGCAGTCTGTTCTGGCTTGCTATGTGACATAGAAGACATTTCTAGTAACCGATTAGCAATAGATTGTTTTTATAACAGTGTGTTCCTGTACACATGCCCTCCTCCAATACCCTTTCCCTATTCCCAGGAGAGAGACACCAACTCAGTAGTCACAGACTACTATATTACATCAGAGAGCCTCATTAAATCACTTCAGACACAATTATCTTTTGTATCCATCAAACCATGAAAGGTTACCTGAGTTACTAAAAAATTCCAGGCTTGTCTTCCTAATAAACAACAGTATCGTGATTAATTGCTAAAAGAATCTGGTGCTTTAGGAATAGCTTTTATTTGGAAAGTTTAACATACTCATTCACCAGACAACTGAACTCTCCACTTCTCACTTTCTCAGGTCACCTGCAAGTACTAAAGATTTATGTGAGCAAGAAATATTGTTACTTCTTAACATGGCGGTGTTTTTTCAAGCAACATATTTCAGATAGAGATTTAGCCCCATGATGCATACAAAGAAAAAGACTTTGCCTTGAGAGGATTTGGTATGAACTGGGTCACAAAGGCAATTAAAAGTCGTAAACCAGATGTATTATGTCTGTTCTATCCTTTTCACTTGTGTCAACGGGTGAAATCATTGCATGGTACGCCCTGGTTCATTTTGTCATTCTAAAGCTGGAAATGATGTAAACAAAAAAGTGGATTCCTTTTTTTATATAGTATTGTGAAAGATACTAATTTTATTCCATGAATATCTATTATAAATTTGAAGCTGAAAATACATGTGTGTTTTTAAACATTTTGATTCTATAAAGTACATTCCATAGTCCGGATTCACTTTAATTGTGATTAATTTCCTTTCTTCTATATCCCATAGTATATATGCACAGGATAAAAACACACATAAATAAGTCACACCATTAACACAGTGTTTTCATTCACCTGTGGAATCCTGCATAAGAATTATTTTCTCATTTTAAGTGCATATTTTAACTTTCACACAACTGAGCTGGGCTTCCAATACACTTTCTGCTTCTAGGGAAGATCAGTTTAAACAGTGAAGTAAGTAAATCATGTGTGTTATTGCTCAGTACAGAGTTACTCAAGTTGATTATATTTCTGTTGGTCTTGGCTAACAACTAATGCTACAATATTTACTTTAATAAGCTGAAGTAAGCTCTGAGCCTCTTTAAAATTATACTCTGTAGAGTGCAAATCCTGTAAACACGCCAGAATGAGGGTTCCACTTGCAAATAGGTTCATTACTTATTTGCCAAACTTTCTGCAAAAGGGGGAAGACTTGCTACTCTCTGTAATGCATCTTTATAGGTAACTGCTGGGAAAACTGTTGAAAGAACTTAGTAGCACTGAGCAGCTGGTGCTGTGACATGGTTCCTAAACAAATGCCATCTTTGAGAGCCCACCCAGTGTGGTACAGTAAGTCTTTGTCCTCTTTGCTACCTAATAGAGTGAAGATCAGAACCTAGTAAGTTAATAAAGCTGACTAGCTTACATGTCCCCTTCTCTGCTCTGGTCCCAAAGAGCTATTATGCCTGGCTGCCTAGGAGATCTCCAGAAATATAGGGTGCTGTGGCACAGAGGCATTACCCTTACTTCTTCAGGTTTCCTATATTCCCTGTGATCCCAGTCTCTAAGGCAGAACTAATAAAAATGGGTAGAGATACACGACTGCACATAAAGAAGTTCATTTTCATTAACCGTCCGGTTCTTTTTTCAGCTTGCATTGTTTTGGTCGTATCTCTGCTCTCGTCTTCACCTATGGGGCTTTCAGACTCACGCCTGACACAGTTATTTGCACTTTGCAGGGAGCAAAATGCCATATGTCGTCTCTAAATAGCTTACTTTCCATAGCCAGGCAGAAATGTGCCTCTAATTTGTTTTATACTGCCAATACTTTTTGTGAGAGGAAATTGTTGGGGCACTGGAAGTTATCTATTTTCCACTAGATTTTATTAGGTTATTTCCTGTTTTTCTTCCTGTTCCTTTGCTCTGTCTAATTTGGCAGATTGATTTTATTCTTGCATTTTCCTTCCTTTTAGTTCTCCCAGTTCTACTCACCATCTCCTTGTCCAAACCTTCTGGACATCAGCTGAATGTTAGAAAGTAGAACTGGCCAAGGATTTCAACATTTAAAACGTGGATAAAGCTTTTCAGGTAATTCAAACTCTTGGGCTTGCCATTAGAGTTACATCCAAATCTAGAAAACTGTTGTTTCCTCTCTGCTTTTTTCTTTCTATCTATCTATCTATCTATCTATCTATCTATCTATCTATCTATCTATCTATTTTCACTTTCAATTTATTTGCCCTTTCAATTTATTTCCCCCAAACTTATTAAAGTTAGCCCCTGCTTTATCTTGTTCCCGTTCTCACTGAAGACAGCTACACTGTCCCAGTCCTTCTACTTTCTGTATTAGGTATGGGGGTTTTCCAAAGGCCCAGGTTCCTCAGTAGTTTTCCAGCAGTTATACCAAGACTGGTAGAATGTAAAAGATGTGGGAAATAATATTCCTGGTACCACCTGATGAGTGTTGGGCAAAACAGGACATTTGTTTGGGGTTACGTAACTTTACC